GCCCGGTTAGGGCTCCCCCCAAACAGGACCTTCCCCAGGGCAAGAAGGGGAGGCAGCGGCTGGGGGGGGGTGATTGGAGGATAGGGGGAGGTGGAGGATCCCCCCCACAGTGCGGGAGTGCTGCAGCAGTGCCCACAGCAGCTTGTGTGCCCAGGATATGCAGGCTTTCGCTCCTTCGCTGCGGGGGCTCGCTGCAGGGAGACGGGGGACACGGGGCCCTCGAACCTTTGCATGGCTTGAGAGGGGGTGCAAGGGCAGCTATGCCCCCTTCCCCAAACGTCAGCACCTGGACCTGGATGTGCCCCGTTGCGGGAAACCCACAGCTCCCTCAGGGCAAGTTTGCTCATGGCTTCTCCTAAACCTCTACTTTCTCCCCCTCATCCCATCCTCACATCCTCCCCAGAGCAGAGATCTCTGTGGGGTCTCTGCAACCCACGCTCAAAGCACCCCATGTCCCCCCACATGGCCCATCTGCTCCCCAGGGGCTTCCATATCCAGATATGGAGGCATCTGCATGGGAAAAGGCACCCCAGGCACCTCGCAGCCACAGGGGGACGTCCAGGGGCTCATGGGCCCCACGTGCAGTCGGGGAAGGGCTGTACTTGGCACCCTCTTGCCCCCAGTGAGGCTGCAGCTGCTCTGTGCTCTTGGCCCTCAGGGACCCGCGAACCAGCCCTGCCTCTTCGTGCCAGCCGGCGCGATGGGCAGACCACGTGTGCCCGCTGGCAGGAGCTGCTGGCAGCCAGGCTGGGAGCCCTGGCATGCGCCTCACAGGATGTGGCCTCCTCCTTCCTCTGCCCCTTTGGTATATTTGTCCTCTTTAGCCCTGGCATCCCTGAAGAGCCTGTCAGTGACGGGTGCCATGGGGCAATCACCTCCTCCCTACTTAGCACTGGTCTGAGACCTCCCACACTCATCTCATGGAACTGAACTGCAGGAGCTGCAGCCACCGGCTTTCAACCAGCTGTTGGAAAGTTAAAAATTCCTCGGGATCCCTCCACCCCTTGGAACTGGGTCTTTTTGGCCTCCCAGATCCCGCAGCTGCGAGACAATGTGCCCATGGAAGCAGGACAGCTGACGCCACATTTTCCATTATTAGACCCCATCCATCACCGACACTGTAAGGTGCCTATGACTGCACCTCGGCACCAGCTCATACTTCATCTCAGCCGGACAGGTGGGGAAACGAGGCTCAGAGGGAGATGAGTCGTCCAAGGTCAGGCAGTTCGTCAGTGGCAGACCCAGGGGCGCAATGCAGGAACCCTACTAGAGTGCAGACTCTGCCCAGCCCTAGGTGTTGCGCGTGGGTGAGGGCAGGAGGGAACCAGTTTGGACTTCAGGACTTCCTTGATCCCAAATTTGCAAGTTTGTCCATCCCCTTTGCCCGCCTTGTCCAGGGCCACACTGCTTTGGGAGCTCGAGCCCCCAGAGAGAGGCTGGTTTGGGGGAGATGTGGATCCAGCTGGGAGCAGAGGGTAGTGTTTAGGGTGCCCCAGGAGGCAGAGCTGGGTGACAGGGCAGAGGCAGCAGAAGGCCTCTGCCAGCAGGGAGCTGGGAAGGAGGCGGAGGGTGAAGACACCATCCCCCGGCAGCTGCGGGGGAGCATAACACAATTACGGTGTCTCTCCTTTCACGCTGCCAGAGCAACTCTGCTCCCTAGGCCCTCCCCGCTGCTGCCTGTGCGTAGGAGACAGGCGCTGCTAAGGACTCAGCATGCCAAAGCTGTCCCTGGCGGGTGGCTCACCTGGGGCAACCCGGTGCCTGCCCAGCCCCTGCCAACTGCTCCCAATGGATCTCACCTCCACAGAGCTAATGCACTCGACGAGTCAGTGCGGCCACCTCTGCAGCAGCGCAGGGAGGCTCTGCTGACACAGAGCTATGGACTTGCCTGTCCAGCGTAGGACGCAAAGAAAGGAGAGGGAGGATGAAGAACTGGCACATCTCCTCAGACCTCCTTGGAGAGCATCCCTACCTGGGCTGCTGCAAATCCAAGCTGAAACCTTCTCTCTTTGTATCTGGGGTCAGACAGGTCTCTTCATCTCTGGTCCCCTGGAAAGCACAGAGCATAAGATGATACTTCCGTAAGACTGAAGGACACACACAC